AATAAAGTGTTTGTAAATGGGGAGGGGAGGAGGGGGTGAAGGGAGGGCAGGGACAAGGGGAAAAATGAGAATCAAGACCTATTATGTAAAGGTACAGAATCCCAATGATGAATGTAACTGTATTGTATACCTAGATTATACCAATAAACTCAATAAAAAGAAAAAATAAATAAATAAATAAATAAATAAATAGCATGAAGAATCCAGACCCACAAAGGGAGTTGAGACTGGAAAGGAGAGCCACTTTGGACTGTATACTAATTAATGTTCCTAATCTGACTTTAGGTTTCCCTGTGTAGGTATAAGTAGACATTTATGCTTTTGTGGGGGTGGATTTTAAAACCTTTCCTATTGGGATTATTTAAATCAACTTTATCAAGGAAAGACTAATGTACAATAAAATGTACCCATATTAAATACAAAACTGAATGAGTTTTGATAGCTGTCAGATATATTTTGATTTTGAGCAGTTCCGGTGGTCATACATTTAATGATATATTTAATTGTTTTCCCTAAAGATGGTTCACTTAGAGCTCCTTCACGTGAAGTTACCTATATTTGTAATCTGAATTATGCAATTTATAATTTACTCTGTTTCTAGGGATCAACAACACGAATGGACCATGAAACAGCTAGTGTTTTGAGTTCTAGTAGTACACACTCTGCTCCTCGAAGGCTGACGAGTCATCTAGGAACCAAGGTAATAGAAGATTGTAAATCCTGGTGGTTAATGCTGCAAATTCTTTGCTATGACATTCTTCATGAGAATTCTAATTCTTACTCAATCTTTCAAAGAAATGACATCATTTTATACAAATAAATATAAGGAGGAAATGAGGATTATAAAATCTGACAGATTAGGTAGTTGTTAATTCTTTTTCAGCCTCATCATCCACTTTTCTGGAAGTATCCTAAGCGCCAGCCAAACTGGCTTACTTCCCTAAATAACCCTTATGACTTTCTTCCTGTGAGGTATTCTTATTCTTCCAAATGAGAAAAAAAATACCAGGTAACTCTTACATAATTAAGTTAAACTTTAACTCCAGATCTGTCCAACATCAACATATAGTTTTTGCTGTAAAGAAACTCTCTAATATGTAATGAAAACTGGCAGCTAGAATTCCATTTCCTTTTGAAGCGATTTATATGTAATATTAAGGCTTTACTGTGTATTTTGAAGGCCAGATACTGTCCTAAATATGTATTATTTCATTGAATCTTAACAAGTATACATGCAACTCAGAAAACTGAAGCTCGGGGAAATCAAATTTGAGCCTAGGTCTGATGAAAAAACCCATTTATCCACAGTTTTGTACTGCCTTGCTAAAACTTCAATACCTTTTGGCTAGATAATTCCCTGTTGCATTATGTATGCTGAGCAGCATTCCTGGGCACCACTCACTAGATACCCCTAACACTACAATTACAACTGAAAATGCCTTGAAGACAGCCAAATTTACAGGGTGGGGGAGGGGCTTTCCTGAGGGAGAACCACTGATTTATAGAGATGATACATTCTTTATATGATGCCATCGGCTTTCATGCAGTAGCCTCTAACTGAAATGAAACTGATGACAGTCCAGGATAACTGGGTGGTGTTTTTCTGTTTCTAACCTAAGTAAATCCTTAGAATTTATTGTCAGAGAGTAACTCATGCTTACCAAATGATTTTAAAAATAGAAAATAACTACAGATCCTGGCATTGTCACTCCCTGTGCTCATGACATTTTCACAACAAAATATTTTCACATGCATAGGAAGAAATCATATCTTAACAATTAACAGTATTACACTTATAATGAGAATTCTCAATTGCTGAGAATTAGTACTTAGTAAATTACTTGTTGCAAAAATGTTTATTGATTATATTGTAGATTAAGAGGTAAAATATTATTTTAAATTGCATAAAGAATTTAAATAAAATACATCCCTTAGTGTATATGTATGAGAGATCACATTCCTATAAGGGATCAGTTAATTTTCACTCATTATAATCAGTAGATTACTGCCAGCTAATCCATACACATAGCAATTTAAGTATGCATAAAGAACTCACTTTCTCTTTCTACACTGTATAATGCCACTACTATGATTTATTCACATAAGAAATTGTTGATGATTATCTGGATTTTGATATAGCACTCATTACTTTATCCTGGATTTTCTTGTTTTGTTTTGCTTTGAATGAGTTACAGTAAACATCCCATTCATCACTTCATTAATTTTGACGTTTGGATATTAAAGTCATAATTTTGTTTCTAAACTCATTTGGCCCACAGGTGGAAATGGTGTATTCATTGTTGTCAATGCTTGGTACTCATGATAAGGATGATATGTCGCGAACTTTGCTAGCTATGTCTAGCTCCCAAGACAGCTGTATATCCATGCGACAGTCTGGATGTCTTCCTCTCCTCATCCAGCTTTTACATGGCAATGACAAAGACTCTGTATTGTTGGGAAATTCCCGGGGCAGTAAAGAGGCTCGGGCCAGGGCCAGTGCAGCCCTCCACAACATCATTCACTCACAGCCTGATGACAAGAGAGGCAGGCGTGAAATCCGAGTCCTTCATCTTTTGGAACAGATACGAGCTTACTGTGAAACCTGTTGGGAGTGGCAGGAAGCCCATGAACAAGGCATGGACCAAGACAAAAATCCAAGTATGTTCTTTGTAGTGTACATCATAGTGCATTATTCAAAGCATATGTAACAGTTTTAGAGTAGAAAACTTTTTCTTTAGTTAACATGTTGTCTTTATGAATGGAGGAAGAAATTCATATTAGTTATCTATGCTGCTAGCATTATTTTAGAGCTATGCCTATATTTTCCTAGAAAAATTAATATAGGAAAATATGTGCATTTCTGTGCAACCAAAAAATAACAGCAAATCAAAGAAACTTATAAAGGCAAAGATTAGTTGAGCTAGAAAGAACTTGAGCAATTATGTTCCCCATCTCTTCTATTGCATAGTTGTGGCTCAGAAAAGCAACTTTGCATAAGTTTCTGTAGCTGTTGATGACCAAGCCATAATCTCTTTTTTGTTTGTTTGTTTGTTTTTTGGGGTTTTTTGTTACCAGGGATCAAACTCAAGTCCTTGTGCTTGAGAGGCAGGCGCTGGAACCACTGAGCCCCTGGCCCTCATAATCTGTTATACTTGCATATCAGCCTATCCAGTGGACAGGCTCTATTATTTGATCCTCACAAAAACCTTGTGAAGTAGAAAAGGAAAATTTTATTATCTAGAAATTGAAGTTTAGAGAGGCTAAAAGATTTACCTTTGGCCACATAGTAAGTGGTAGAGCCAAGAACAATGGTCATGTCTGATAATTTTCAGCTCAGAGCTCTTCCTTCTATACTGTCTTGCTCCAATCGTTGTGCTCCAGTGGCTGGTGGTCAAAAAACAAAAAAGCACCCAGCTGTTGGCTCTGAAAAGACCCTTAGCCATCAGCCCCTCCCCTTCGGGGGCAGGAAATTTAGGAGTTGGGTCCCTTGGGAACATAAAACTTCATTCTTGTAGCCAAGAATCAACATTAGTAAGTACATAAGGTAAGGTCTTCCTCTCACCCAGTGAGAACTCACATGGAGAGTAAGTAGGTGACACTGTTATATCAGCCTATTGATTAGGAGAGTGGGGCAATGGTAAAAACATGGCTTATGACTATGATAGGTTTTTTTCTAAGCCAAAATATAAAATTTATTTAAATTTCAGGAATAAGAAAAAAGAGATGATCCTTTATATCTGCTTGTTCTAGGGTTGAGAACTAGTAAAATACTTTATTGAGATCTTTATTGACAATAGAACATTGCCTTTCTGGATTTTCTTTGGCTGTCCACATCTGAAAGGACTCAGATTACTTCTGAAAAATACTTTTTAAAAATTATGTCAAATAGTTTCAAAACCTTGCACATAGTATTAAACATGTAGGTACATTTTCTTTGACATGTTTTTCTTTCAGTTTTTTACTGTACATATATATATATATATAGTTAACTTTCTCTACAAGATACTAGATTTGTACAAGGCCTTGCTCGTTTAACCAATGCTTATGACAATGGTTTAAATTGAAATTATTATTTTACTTTGTTTTGTTTTTTGTTTTCAGTACCAGAGATCGAACTCAGGTCCTTGTACTTGAGAGACAGGCAGAGGAACCACTGAGCCAAATCCCCAGCCCTTAAATTAAAATTATAAACAAACAGTTTTATACCAGTATGTTTTTATTATTTTATATAGCCAACATAATTTTAAATTTTTATATATGTAAGTTAATAACATAAATCTACAAAGAACTTGAACATAGTCAAGGGCAGATGAGTAGTAAACATTTTTATGGAACTAAGAAAAGCCCTTTGCTATTCATTTTCTATTCCACATATAGTATTTATTTATTCATCCATTCAGCAAATTACTTGTTAATCCACTAAACTTCTATACATTAGGATTATGTTATTGACCCCTGTATATTTTAAAGTATAATAACCATCATTGCTTTTGAAGTAACAAAACATGGTTTATGTCAACTTTTTCAGTGCCAGCTCCTGTTGAACATCAGATCTGTCCTGCTGTGTGTGTTCTAATGAAACTTTCATTTGACGAAGAGCATAGACATGCAATGAATGAACTTGGTAAGACAAAAATGTTTCTTAATACCATAGATAAAAATTGGTAGACTTCTAAATCATTGTAGTGTAGTAAGTTAAGATGTTTAATCATTGATAAGTTGATATATAAAGCCACTAACTTCTATTACCAGCTGCTTCCTCCTTGTAGTAGGGATTGTGCCCTGGCTTCCATGGGAGAGTCATGAATCATGAAACTGTTACTCTGTTATAAACTTATTTGAATTTTCAAAGTCACACCTGAAGATTGAAAAAATTACCAAGTGAACCACTCCTTGTCCCTATTGCCAAGGTAGACCCTGGGTGACAGTTGATAGGGTAATTTGGATTACTTTGCAAATACAGTGCTACTTCACTGTCCTTGAAATCTGTCAGTCACTTTTGCTGATCATCAGGAGGAATTATTATTAAGATTTTCATTTATCCTCATGCTTATTGGTATTTATTGGATTTTCCTCATAAGCAGCATGGTACCTTGAAACTGGTTAATATAGAAAAATATACACTAATTTAAGTTGGAAACATTCCATTAATTTTGGAACAGTTACTCCTTTAGGTACATATTATCACATGCCCTAAAAGTTATATGATCTGCATTTATGCATCTCATTTTTCACGTAATGGTTTTTCTTTGATTTCTAGGTTCATTTTGCACATGTGGTATTTATAAATTGCATCATGCTGAGCCACTTCATATGAACTGGATTTCTGTAGTTGTGCCACAAACAAGAACCATAGACTGAGTTTCCATTTTAGTGTAGCTGTGCCCTTGGTTTTTGTGCTGTTTATGTGACATTACATTCCAACCTCGACTTTGTATTCCTGCCACCCTCATCATCATTCATCATTATCTTAAAAGTGATAAAGTCATGAGACTGACACAGCCAACCTGCACAGCCAAACGTGCGTGTTGTCTCTTCAGAGTCATCACTTTGGGAGGCTCTGTACCTTGAAATTTCAGGTCTGCCCTCCAACATGCTTTTCTTCCCACGGGCCCACCTAACTCTCCTCCCTAGCACCCTATGGAATATCAGTTAATCTTATATGAATTCTCCCCTCCTCCATATAATCTCAGCATTTATGGAAAATATGTAATGCTAATAATGAGAAGAATTAATCCAATTTTGAGACAATACAAAGGTTTTTCTATAAATGTTCCTTTGTAAACTAGGACTGACACATTAATCATCTGAATTTTAAAATAAAACCTAGACTCAGTATTTGTTCCTCTTCCTTCTTCAGGTAGGAAGGCTACCCGGGGCATTTCATCACAGGAGCTAGGGCAGGGGCTTTCAGGTGAGGAGCAGGATGGGACCTCTGGGGGTGTGATTGCTGGGGACAGAGCCACAGGGGTTGCCTTCCTCTCACTCCTAGTCTCCAGAGTGGCCCTGGGGCAAAAGGAAGATTAAAGTTTATGGATTAGGGAGACATAGTATAAAATGACACCGGTATCTGGCAGTCAGGGAGTAAGGAAGAAATAAGTCTCAATTGGATGAAGGGAAATTCTTAAGCCCAATCAGCTGAGACAATTTTCAGGTCATTTGAGTTTTAGAGGAGAGTATCAGTGATATATATTTGTTAATTCCAAATCCTGTCCCCAAAACTGTGTTAGGCACTAGAATTTTCTATGATTAAGATTTGGTCCTGGCTTCCAAAGAACTTAGGATTTATTAATGTAAGTGTGTCACATAATTTCTAGACCATAATGATCACTACAGGCATTTGTCAAACCATATAGATCCATATAGATTCTCTGGCCCTGAAGCAATTAGAATCTCCAGAGGAGGGGACTAAAAATCATATTTAGTGAGCAGCCTGAGTGATTCTTATCAGGAAACTGAGGAATACTGTTCTATAGAATATTGATGTTTGGCCTCTAATACTTATTTTTAAGGGCAGCTTTGTATGCTAATGGTAGCTATCTAAACCAAATAATACAAAAATAATATACTTTTAAAAATTGTCAACTCTAGTATCTTTTTTAATTATGAAGATTCTGTCTAATGTCAGCTAAGGCCATTAGTCTTCTATCTTCTATAAGGTTATAAGACACTGTATTGAATAATAATTTGATCAATCTAGACCTTTTTCTCTAGACCTCTTGTGTAACAGATACCCCAAGAAAAATGTCAAAGGACATGTTCATCATCTTTACATTACCTTGAAACATCCTAATTTTTTCTTGGGGAAACCAATGTTTTATTCTATCAAACATATATTTGCTTCATATTTTAGTGAATCCATTTATAGTTTTAACATATAAAATATACTCTTTCCCTCAAAATTTACTGAAGTCTTTATGTTTACCTGAAATTTTACTCTTACTCTTTTTTTTTTTTTTTTTTTTTTTTTATT